AAAAAAAAAAAAAAAAAAAAAAAGGAAAGTAGCAAAAAAACCGTGTAAGACAAAACAAAAGCAAAAATGCAGATGGACAGGAAAACGCAAATCATCGACTACGATGGGAACATGATGGAGGATCTGAAGGAATGGATGATTAGTAATAAGCTAGCTAATCTAGGGTTCAACTATAACGTGATAGCAATTTTGGGGAGCCAAAGTAGTGGGAAAAGTACTCTCCTTAATAATTTATTTAAAACTTCATTCGATGTGATGAACACAAAACTGGGTCACAGTCAGACAACCCAAGGGTTATGGTTAAGCTTCGATACATTTGAGGATAGTTCGGTTTCCCCTTCCAAGAAGGGCAGTAGCACCAGTCCAGTGAACCCCACGCTTATCTTAGACGTTGAGGGAAACGACTCTAAAGAAAGGGGAGACAACCGCCTAACCTTTGAGCACAGATCAGCTCTGTTCTCTTTGGCACTAGCGGACTGCGTAATTGTAAATCTGTGGTACCACTCGTTAGGGAATTTCACAGCCTCCAACTATGGGTTATTAAAAACAGTTATGGAAGTGAATCTGGAATTATTTCAACAGGATAAAAATTGTCCCAAGACGATTTTGCTATTCACAGTGAGAGACTGGTTCGAAGAATTCGCATCCATAGACATTGTGAAGAATAAAATCGTAGAAGAATACTTAAACAAAATATGGAGTGAAATGAAAAAACCAGCAGGTGCAGAAAAGGCAAATATAAATAATTATTTTATTGTTGAAGTGGTAGGATTATCTCACGGAATTATTAAAAAGGAAGAATTTTTAAAAGATGTACAAAATTTAAGAATGAAATGGATCAATCATTTAAGACCTGTACAATATTCGAGGAATATTCCTTCAGATGGTTTCGCGTATTATTGTCATAGCATTTGGAACACCATAGTGAAGCAATCCCAACTGGACATTCCATCACAGAAGGAAATGCTATCTACCTTTCGGTGTCAGGAAATTAAAAATAACGTGATTTTGAACACTTCCAAAATGATAAAGGAGAAATTAGCTGCCTCTTCCTCGCAGCATAGTAAGACCACGGTTGATGAATTTAAATCATGGGCTGAAAAGGACATAGTGGAAAAAAGCCTCGATGAATACTTTGTGGATGCCTCTAGGTATATAGAAAGTATATGCCTGAAGACATCGGAGGAGTTACTAGAGAGTCTGTTCATACAACTACAAACTATTGTGGATAATAATTTAAATTTTACACAGAGGGTACTGTCGGCCAAATTTGCAAACGAGCTCAACACCATGTATAGTCTGTGCACGTCCGATAAGAACGCCTTCCTCTTCAGCAAAGAGTCCAATCTACAAGTACACAAAAGTGGCAAAGGCAGCAGTTCTCCCAAGGACGATAAGAAGGATAAAAATAATAATCAAGACAAATGTATTCGTTTGTGGTCCAGTTTTCTTGTCAATGCGGATAAACTCGAGTATAGCACTTTGTGTAATTTCTTTGAGGATTATGAAAAATGTAACATTGAAATTAAGAAGAGAAATAAAATTCACGAATTTAATTATAAACCCTCCTTGAGTATCCTCTCTACAGCGATTTGCAAAGACCTGAACAGAATTCGAAATACACAGTTCACCGTCCTTCTGGACCGCACCAGGGCCACCATCAAAAGTAGATTTAAAAATATGGACAACCTACTCATCACGACGAAGAACCCAGAAGAGTACTGGAGCCACACACTCAAAATTGTTAAGGCCATGCAGGAAAATATAAGTAACAATCTAACAAAATGCTTCATAAATTTGAAAGGGGGAAGTGGCCCAGGTAGTAGCATCTGTGGCATTATGGCAAATGGCATGATTGACAATGACGAGGATGATAATATATTCCACATGGACAGCTCAAAGGAGGCAAACAAATCACTTAGCGACAATCATTATGCAGAGGAAAGTCTTCTGAACCATAAAAAAATAGATTTAATTAAAAACAAAGGCAAGTACATCAGCACTGTAAGCGAAGAAATCGATAAACAGATAAAGAACAAAAAAGTGATGTCAGAATTGAACAGCTACTATTTGGACGAAATAATGGACGTGCTTAAAAGTAAGCTAGACGAAATTTCAGACAATTTATCTTCAATCATAATTCAAAGATTTGAATCTGTTTTCAACTACGATGATGCTGAACAACCAAGACAGTGGCGTGAGATCTCCATGGCGGAACTGAAAAAGATCTTCAGAGAATCCAAAAATTATGCTTTTCTAATTATTGACATTCTACAGAAAAATATTAAAGTAGAGCTCATTGATGATTATTTACCAAATAATTTTATAAAAGATGAAATTATCGAAAAGGGAAAGAATAAGGCAAAGAGGAAGATTCAAGAAATTTGTAGGGATGCCCAGTATATCCAAGAGACGGGTGCTAAAATGAGTTTAAAAAATGTGCCTCTTTTTTTCTGGGTTATGTTGTTAGTCCTAGGATGGAACGAACTTTTGTTTTTTATTCGTTTCTTTTTCCGCCTGAATATTATTTTGCCGCTCTTCTTGGCCGTCGCCGTCATTGTGTCGACCCTCTTTTTTAATGGCAATATGGAGGTGCTTTCCATAATCAACAAGGTGGTGTTTTTTCTGGCCAAGAGTTCGTTTGGCTTTTACAAGCAATTGCAGGCGATGGGCGCAAAGGCCGCACAGAGTACCCCAGCGGAGTAGCGAGTGGAGCGGCTACGGTGATTTTTACAGGGGTGTCATAGACTTGCTTTTTTTTTTTTTTTTTCTTCCCTTTTTTTTTTTTTTGTTAAACAGCATCGTTGAATCCCGTCTTGCGTTTTTGGCGAAGTTTTTCTACGCCGAGAAGTGTGTGTGACATGTGTGTAGGGGGTTCTTTTCCTAAAATGACCCCGTAGTTTGAACCCCGCCGTTTTTAGACCTTTTTTAAGTTCCGAGGGTTCGAAGAGTACGTTGCTTAGTTCGAACCACACGGAGTGGAGCATATACAAAGTGAAGTGTAAAGTAGCAAGCATTTGGAGAATTTCCTTTTACAGGCCAATTGTGAAGAAATCAAATGGACACCCCCCACGTCACTTGCTGAAGTAGCGCATCGCAGGAACGTGGAGACAAGAACGGGGGGGCACTGCAACTCGTAAAGGCTCTAAGTTGCAAAAATGGGAAAATATTCAAATACCACCGTGGCAGCATACGGACATGGCGCAAAAGGTAGCGACCCTTCCCATGTCCTCGAAAGTGTAGAGAAAAATTAAAAAGCAAATTTAAAAAGGAATCAAAAATAATTTTAAAAATAGTTTCAAATGCGAAACAAAAAGTTGCAAATTACAAAAAAAAAAAAAAAAGAAAAAGAAAAAAATTGTCCAAATAGTAAATGAGATAAAAGTGTGCATCGTCAAACTGAAGTGTCAAACGATTTTAGAAATGCGCAGAGAGCCTGAGGTATACGTTGTGCTCATATATCTTGCTACCCCATTTTACGGCCACACATTTCTGCCACATGTTTGTGCTACATTTTTTTTTCTTTTTTTCCATTTGAAGAAAACAATTTTGCTTTTTTTTAAACACAGAACCGAGGAGACATGCATGTCTTTCCTCGCGCTCATTTTTAAAGCTCCTTGTTTATGGTCCCATTTTCGTGCATCACTCTGTTGATGAATGAGCTCACCTCCTGGGATATCTAAAAAAAAAAAAAAGGGGATGATAAGGGGTGGAATGTTTCCACACCGGGAAAGGGTTCTCCCCGGCGCCATAGTAGCGTGCAATATGTATATACCCACTCGTCATTGTATACATTGCAGCTGTGGAGGAAGTTAAAAAAAAAAGGGTACAATTTCTACCGCCCATATATAGTTGCTCATTTTTACCTTCATAATAATGTTATACAAATTAAAGACACAGCTCGATATGTGCTTGTAGTTTTCTTGGGACATGTAAGACTTTGTGTATGGAAGGAATAAAACTGTGAATCGTAAAATTAGGTAAACCGAGATTGCTAGGTATAGAAGTTTGAAAATCGGTTTGATAATTCCGTCCCACAAGAGCATGCTGGCGAGGTAACTGTGTTGTGAATGGGGTGGGGTGGTACGAATGAGCGGTGGAATGGTTATAATGCCATTGCGATTGGCTACTAGGGACAGGAGAACCTCCTAGATGATTCCCCTGATGGGTACCACCCACTCATACGTACACTATGTACATCCACTCCAGTATGGTAAAAATCGCGGAGGAAAGCAAAATAAAGCCTAGAACATTATTCTTCTCATCAAACATAGAATATAGGTGCATGCTTATGGGTACTAAGTCGGAGGATTTCCTAAACCAGTTGAGATGGAATAACGACTCTGCGAAGGGGGGGTAGACGATATGTATGCGTATGAGTTGCTTCAAAAAAAAAAAAAAAAGGGCTTCCATTGGAAGTTCAACGGCAGGGCTTCTGCTCGGATGCCAATATGCATGTATACGCACAAAACTAAGCGCAGCGACGAATTCGAGCAGCTGCTAGCAGTGCGTACTGATTGGCCTGGGCAAGACGGGGCAGGGAGCCTTCTTCACATAAACCTTGTTCACATTGTCTACTTTGAGTTTATTTCTTATTTCTAATTTGATTGGCCTTTTCTCCCTCTTTCGGTAATACAGCATATTATACACTTCGTCTTCCGTGCTGGAGTAGATATTATAGCACCCATTCCATACAATGTGGCAGAAGATCAGGTAAGAAATGAGGAAGCAGTAGGTCCCTATTCTTAGGAAATCCATTTTGTAGGCTGCGGAGAGTTCTGTGCTTCGTCCAGATGTCTTTTGTCTTTCTCCGTTTTTACGATTCGATTTTCGTTTTCTCGTCCTTATGCGATTTTTTTTTTCTTACTGTTCTTTCTTTTTTCTTTCTTTGTTCTCTTTTATCCTTCCCTTTGCTAATCGGACGAAGATGAATTTCTCATCTTTTTTTTTTTTACCTGCAGCGTTCCTCCGGGGCGGCGTAATCGGCGGGCACATGGAGCTGCCAAGGAACATATCCAAATGAAAGACATACGGACCCCAAAAAAAAAAAAAAAAAAAAAAAAATTCTCATTTTAATGCCATACAAAATTGTTTATATTTTGGAATGCGCAAATTTGCCTTACCATTTTGTACGTACATGTGTATATTTCGAACCTTTGTGTCTGTATCATCTTTTTTTTTTTTTTTCTTCCAACCGTTTAACGGACATGTAGAGATGTTTTTTTATCACTCTATATGGCAATCCACGTGTTTCTACATGAACGCCCCTCGCTTAAGGTCACGTAATTTTCCCCGTCCATTCACTCACTCACTCACTCTCTAACAGAGTACAGTTGCTTTTTTAGCTTGATTAAAAATTCAACGGGGTATCCTGCTCCCCCCCCCACACGTCCCCGAATCAACCAACCTACACACGGACCAGAACATCCTAACTCTCTTAGCATGTATGTCCGTTTAAACTTTACGAGGCATTCCCCCAATGAAGGAAAATGTGCGCATCGTGGTATGTAGAGCGGGAGGGAGAACTTCATGAGCCTCCACGAGTACCACTACTTGGCACTAGTGGCCTAGGTTATCATAAATCTTTTTTTTTTTTTTTTCTTAATAAAAAAATTGGACGAAATAAACAACGAAATGGTTAGGTATAAGTGCACTATTTTAAAGAGTTCTTTTTCTACTTTTAGATGAACACATTTTCCCCCTCTTTGGTTTCCTTCCTAATGCGCATAAGTGGGACATAACGTCTGTGCGGGGAGTTACACATGCGTGAATGCATAGCCACACTGTCTATGCATGTGCATGCGCATGTGTTGTTCGCCTTATGTGCGTTCTGTTTATATTTGTTTTTATGTGCGGGGTTATACAACACACTAGGGGGAGACATAATTTTGTTCCGTCTTCAATTTGGTTAACTAAGTGATGTATCGACAAACGCGAATTGAGAATGAGGACACTACGTTCGTTTTGGAATGCCACTAGAGGATATTAAACTATCGCGGGGGACAGAGACGCAGAGATAAATAAACCCGCGCTTTCGCACCGCCCCCCTCTTTTCATGTGCATAATTTTACCGCGTCCCTGTGTATACAACGCGCATACGAGAATGTGCACTCCCACGCGTGCATGCTCTCATAGGGGTACTCTTTAGTTAGTCCGTGCGTTTTAAAATTATTTTTCCCCTTCTTCCTCGCTCCAATGGAAATTTCGGTCTCTTTTTTATGCCTGCAGAAAGTGAATATGTACCTTTCGTCATCGTATGATTTCTTCCTACTATTACTCCTTAACCTTTTTATAGTGCGTCATTTTTTTCCATTTTTTTTTTTCTTCCCATAATTTTTACCGCGGAGCTTTGAACCAGTTAAATTATTTTTCTTCACCTTATATATACCTCTTAAACGCGTAACCAAAAGGGGAAGTTAAATTTCATTTATTTATATATTTTTTTTTTGTATTTCCCAATGGGTAGGAGGCGCCTCGATAAAAATGTAAACGACGCGGCCGCCCAGAACAGGGGGAAGAAAGTGAAAAATACGAACATTGGGAAAAACGCAAAAAGGAGGAAAAGGAAAAAGGGCTCCGACAGCGAGGACGATGATGACATTGAGATTACCAACACGAACGTCAATTTGAACGGAAATGTCGCGATTTCGTGTAAATTCAAACAGAGGGAAAAAGTGGACATAAACTTGATCCTGGCCCAGGACGAGGAGGACGCGTCCAAGTAAGAAACGAGCGCAGTGCCCATCTGATATAGCTATACATTTCATAATACGCATGTGCGTATGTTTGTGTGTTTAGTTAATCCCCCGGGGGATGACTCTGGGTGGCTCATTGGATAGGACGACCACTCCAGCTGCGCTTGCTCGTACACGTTCACGTATATATATATTTATATATATACATATGGAGAAGTAGTCAGTTCGAATAAGTCCCGCGAGGTGACCACCCAAATGGCAGAACGCTGTCCTACCCATGTAGGATGGCCACCCTGCAACCTTATCGCACTATTCTTTCCCCCCCCTGTTTGATTCATTCACCACTATAATCACCCCATTTCACTTTCCATTTTTTCCCAAGAACGAAGACCTACTGCTGGACCAAGGTCAACGGAGGCCGAAGTTCCCTCGCGCGAAGAAAATTCTGCATCGTTTGCGGGTTCGAAGGAAAATACAAATGTTTGAAGTGCTATGAACACAAGCCAGTGTCGTTCATCAGGTACTACTGTTCTTTGAATTGTAAAAAGGTCCATGATGAGTTCTCATGTTGTAAGAGTAAGATGTTGGACACGTGGTAGGGGATCCTTCCACGGCTGTGTGGGAACCCGGTTAAGGATTCCAAGGCAGGCAACGCACTTTTGCAAAAGCTTGCCGCGTTTGTTTTTGTTTTTTTTTTCAATACGATAGCATTGTCATAGTTGTGCAGCGCGTTTCATTTCGCAAGCGATGACATGCTTTACTATTCCCCCCATACACATACACACCATATGATCCACATTCTTACGTGGTCTCACTTTTTTTTTTTTATCATTTCATTTTGTCTTTTTTTTTTTGTACATTTTTGCGTTTTTTTTTTTTGTTAAAATTAACTCAAAAAAAGGGGGAAAAAAAAAGAAAAAATTTTTTAAGCAAACAAATAAAAATGAGGAGTGCCCCATGGGGGCAGCTGTCACCTCGCCGGATGGGCGTATGGCAATTTTAGTTTTTTTTTTCTTGTAAACGTTTTTACACGTGCTGGTCCATTTTGTCCACATTGTCGTCGTAACCGTCGCTATCGCCGCTGTCCGTGCCATCGTCCTCGTTGAGAAGAATATTGGCCGCCCGTGAACTGCCCACATTGGAAATATTAAAAAAGTGAATTCCCTTTTCGTTAAACTTGAGGAGCAGTTTTAAAAAATCGTTTTCATCCAAACTGACACTTCTGCATTCAGCCATGTCCAGTTCATTTAGAGTATCAAGGCAGTATTTTTTAAAAGGGAAATTAACGGGTACAATTTTGTTAAAGGTACAGAAATTTTTGTAATTATGTTCAAGCATATTTAAAACTGCGTTTCTCTTAAAAATGGCATGAAGCGTTTTTCTTTTTCTGCTAAAACAAATTCTTAGTAAATTATCCCACTCATCAAAATTGATAAAAAAATTATTTTCCTTTGGGATCAGTTTCACAATGACACTATCAACTTTGGGGGGAGGATTAAAACTACTTCGATCCACATTGCATATTTTAATCACCTTACAAAATAGCTTAACATTTACTGTTAACCTGCTGTAGTTACTATCTCCTACATTGGCCAGCATTCTTTCTGCAAATTCTTTTTGAAACATTAACACTGCACATTTGAATAATGGCCTGTGTGCAATTAATTTGAAAATGAGTGGACTCGATATTTTATACGGAATGTTAGCTGTGCATATATCAAATCGGGGGAAAACAGTCTTAATGGCATCCCCTTCATACACTTCTAAATTATTATAGCCTTCATAAAGACACCTCTTTTTCACTTCACTTACCATTCTGGCGTCAATATCTATCGTGATCACTTTTTTTGCTATTGGTAATAATTTCACTGTTAAGTTTCCTGTACCGCATCCTATTTCAAGCACCACATCGGAACTCTTTATTTTCGCGGCCATTAAAATTTTATCTAATATACCAGGGTTCTTCAGCAGGTGTTGTCCGTGTTTCTTATACAGTATCATATTCATTTTGTTTCCGTTTTTTGCCTTGGACGTGCTGATCTGCCTGCTGCTGTTTCCACCTTGGGTGGTGCTTTTCTTTTTCCCTATCGCGTCACTCACATTTTTCAGTATGCTCACGGGTTTGTTCACCACCCCTTGGTGGTACCAGCGCTTGGGCTTCATGTTCGTTGCGCTCCTGCTCGAGAGGGCGTTTTGGAAATTCCGCAGAAGGGCGTAGCCGCCTGCTCGCATGGCATCGGCAGGGGCGCGCCTGACTCGGTTGGTTCTGTTTTTGCGTCAGGTCCGCTGTTTCGTCTGATTCGGTTGGCTCTCCCCTCGCGTGTTCAAGGGAACAACATGAAAATGTTCTCATCGCAGCGTCCTCATAAAAATACTATGTTTTTTTTTTGTGTTTCCAAAACGGAAAAGCATTTCTTTAAAAAAACGGCCACTTTAAAATGTTTTTAACAAGAAATAAATTGAGGAAAAAACATAAACTTTTTTTTTTATGCGCCTTTCCCTTTTTTAAAAAAAAAAAAAAAATTTATCCGTTCCTGGAATTTCCCAAACTGAAAAATGAGGTGCCTAATGACGTGGCGATGTTGCTGAGTCTGAAGCACGAGCGCATCCATAGGTGCTTATATATAATTCGTGCAGAGCCTTCGCGTGAAGGAAACCGCCTCCGAATTTTAGCAGGCAAAAATGAACACGCGGCAGAAAAGAATTAAATATAGAAATATCAGCGCAGGTGATTTATTATTCTGTTTCAAATTTACAAAGCGGCAACGAGGCGAAATTTATTTATTATTTATTTTTTTTTTTCCTGTGAATTTTTCAATCCATCTGGGGCGAAGGATTATGTTGCGTTAAAATTGTGCCCCTATGGGGAGTTGCATACCCTTCGCGGTATACGACTTGGTTGTAAACATTATTATCCCTATTCTTACCAATAAAAATGGGTAAAAGAGAAAATATGAATAAAAAAAAAGCGAGCGGGAAAGGCCCGTTTTTATTTACATGCGCATGGCGAAGATAGTTGCAAAAATATATACCAGACGGATCGAAATAGAACGGACCGTTGGCGACACGCATTTTTGTGAACATGTCTCCTCGTAGCAAGTGACCCAGTGTATTTCCACAAAATGATGCTTCAAAAGTAACACCATATTTATACCTAGAGGTATGGTTATATGCCCGTTTTAATCCCTCCACACCGAATAGCACACCATAGAAAAGGGGCGTAAACGTGTAAAGGGCAAAGTAGGGGGAGAATAAACATACCCGTAACGTACGTACATCCGTATGTTAGCCCAACCTGCCATTTTCAATTTTGAAATTAGGCCATGGACACATCTTTGTAATCCACCATGTGGTGCGCATAAACACGAATCACCACGTTTGGGGGGTAGGACGCCTGTACGTAGTTGTAAAACTGGTGGCAAGGCAAATTTCGCCATGCTTGTACCACATAACATTTTTTGCTTAAATGGTGTACCTCTACATCTGTGAGGGGTCGCCCCGGTTAATCATTTCTCTGACTACGCACGAGTCCATTACATAAGTTAAGAGGACTCACATACAGTACATGTCAATCTGGTTGGTTGCAGCAAAAATTTGACTTAAAATTGCGTTTACCTTTTTTTCTTCAAATATGTTAATCATGTTGCTATTATAAAGAAAGAGGCATGTACAACTGTTCGAAGATCATTTTGTTTTTTTTTTTTTCTAATGGCACATTTAATGTCCCTATGCATGCAACAATCTGACACGTAAATGACGAATGAGCATGCATTTCTTTTTTTTTCCATGCAGTGGTAAATGCTATGTGAATTTTCCAGTTGGCTAAGTTAGGCGCGCATAAATGGGTAAACAGCGTGCCTGAATGTAGGTGTGTATTTAAGGGGAATTCATATGGGCCTATATCAGTGCGTATGTTCAGGTATGTTTACGTATGTGTACTTTTGCACGCGCACACGTGGGCGTAACGGCGTGGTTCGCCCAGACGCCTGAGCAAACACACATGTACAGATATGTATGTACACTCTTCTGGGTGGGCCCAGTTCTTGCGCGAATCAGATTTATGCAGTTATTTTCCCCTCCCTCCACATATTAAAAGTTTCTCCCAGTTAATTCTTTTCGCTTTAAAGATGAATTAAATTGGTCTTGTTTATTTTTTCTTTTTTCCCTAGGTGACACTGTTTCCGTCTATAGAATGAACTCCTGTATATTTTACTTTTTTTTTTTTTTTTTGTGTTGAGAGCGGGGAATTTTTTTACAGGACGTTTTGATACATTCAAAATTATGTGCTGTATTTTTGGTAATTTTTTCACTTGGTTTTTTTTCCCTTGAATTTTTCACTTTCATATTTTCCCAATTTTACATTTACTCCTGATTTCTTTTTTTTTTTTTTTTTTGTTCCAGCCGCTTATCGTCCTTTACATTAGCACACGAATTCACCACTTTAACGAGTTTACAAAGTTCTTTTGTACAAGTACGTGCACGAGTAATGTGACGCAGTTGAATGCGCAGGTACACATAACTATCTAAGTTGGCATTGCGCGTGTACGTCGACCTTGGTTTATTTATGCTTTTTTTTTTTTAGCCTTTTTTTTTATCCTTTTTTTGTTAGCCTTTTTTTTTTTTATCCTTTTTTTTTAGGCTTTTTTTTTTCCATTTTTTTTGTCTTGTTTGAAAACTTGGAAAATACATGCAATTCACGTTTTAACTGAGTATGAAGGACAATTGTAAATACATGCATATGCGCCGCACAAGTGACGCACATGCGGCGTATCTGAACGAATACCCGCATGTTCGGCCATTCGTGTGTAAATTTGTACGTATATTGCGCATGCCTACATATATGTATTTAATTATACATATGTGTTTTATTTGTTGATTCCTTTTTTTTTTTTTTCTTTTGTGCTACTCACCCCTTTTGCTTTTTACCCCGGTGCGCGTAAAAAAAAAAGTTCAACCGCACTCTCGCAATAATGGAAGCATAGGGCCTGAGTAGGGCAACGGTTAACTCCCTCTCCCCCAAATATGTACATAGCATAAAGCAAATGATGACTTGTATATTTGTGACAAGTATATATTTTTTCCCAGTTCGCTGAAAATATATGGGCGACATTAGATGAAGCGAGCAGTTACAATCCTAGCGCTACCCTTCCCCTCATTTTTAGCCACCGTAAAATTTGCAGACAACTCATGGGCGTGTCTTACATGCCATACCACCCACCTCATTAGTTCGTGGTAAAACCGCGCACATCGCTGAAGCGGGGCGGGTGCAAAAGGAAAACGAAGAAGCGAGAGAAAGGGGGGGAAACAAAAAACTGAAAAAAAAAAAAGACAACCCAAACAACAACTGGTTGAATGTGAACTACAGAAGCACACAAAAGTTTGCACTCCCCGACATTTTTCGAACATAATAGAAAAAGACATAAAAAGCAGAAGCAGCAGCGTTCGCTCTCTACGCGTTGCTTTGTTTGAATCTGCGTCAAATTTGCAATGTAACATTTTGTTTCCACAAAAAAACGCTGAAAAAAAAAAAGTCTAACGTGGTGAAGACACACGGGTAGCGTACTGCGCTTGATTAAGTCTAAGGGAGTACATCTTTTTTTATTCATCCGTTTGAATCCCCCTGAGCCCATATGTGGCGCAACCAGGCATGTTTGAATGTGTGTATGTATATGCATCTTATTTGCGTTTCTCCATCCTCGCTGCCTGCGTGTGTAATTTTTTTTTTTTTTTTTTTTGTTTTGTATTCATAACACCCTGGGGGTGAGCCCCCATCTCTTGCCATTTCATCTGTCCGTGGATTCTCCATAATGGTGCAGATAATCACGCACAAAAATTACGAATAAAGTTGCGTACAAAACCGCATACATATAAATACACCTACTTGGCTTCTCACCCATAGAATGTGCATTTGAGCCGAATCCTAGTTCACCACTAAGGCCAAGCAATTTTTTTTTTTGCCCCCGTTTTCGATTTCATACAATTATGTCACAGTTGGTATGCTCATTTTTGCGCGTATTTTAAGTTTAAAGTTTTGGTGCCCAAGTACACCAGCGCTCTCTTTTAATTTTGAGCTCCACGTGAAGGCAAGGGAAGAACAGAACAGACGTGTTAAAGCCAAACGTGCCCCACACCGTGTGACTCCTTTTCCGCCTCGGCACCAACTCGAGTAAGAAGACAACTCACGGAGGGGTTCCACCCCCCCGAAAAAAAAGAAAAAAGAAAAGAAGCAAGAAAAGGGGATAAAAAAGAAGAAGGAAAAAATGCACCTGCACAGACTCGTAGATTTCAACTACTCCGTGGGCTTAGATGTACTGAAAAATTTTGACATCGTTAACTACCTCATAGTAGTTATTGTGCTGCTAGCAGTAGTGTTAGCAATATTTAATGAAGACGCCTCGGCGGGCTCGCCAAGGTTATCATGGGTATTAGGAGAGTTCCTACCGATTCAGCAATCGATTTTTTCATTAAACACCAATACAGAGAAGAAATTATTGAAGAAGAAAAATAGCAAGACGTATGCATTTATCACCTTTGTTTGTAATTTATTCATTAAGGTAAAGTGTTCCGTCTTGCAGGGCACCTTCCTACATCTACTAAAAGGGTTCTACAAAAATGGAATCAACAAATTAGTTCTCTACAAAAATCTGCTTGTCTTAAAAAACAAATCGGAATCCAAAAGACATTTTTATTATTTGATTCTAAAGGATAAATATAACCTACCAATTGAGAAGGGCGAAAATGAAATGAAAAGCTATTTAGATGCAAAAAGGGCACTGGTTCGTATGAACAAATGGGCCTTTATGTGGAAGGTATCTGAAGTAAAGAACGAATACATCACTTGTGAAAATGCCAAAGTGAGACCCATATCGTCGTACTCTTATCTAGATTTTATAAGAGAACCCCTGGTACAAAATTCTGCCATTCAAGCAGCTATGGAGTGGTCCACAGGAAATCATGGTCCGAGATTGCTCGGAGGGAATAATGAAATTTTAAGAGACTTAGAAAAAAAAGTAGGACAATTTTTTGGTAGAAATGATTCCATTTTAGCCGTTTGTGGATTCTTAGCTTGCATGTCAGGGATCGCAGCTGTTGCTACGCCAAGTGACCTCGTCCTTTATGACAGCAGAACCCATGCGTGTGTAAAAATAGGAATTCAGATAAGTGGTGCCAAGGCATACACATTTAAACATAACGATTATAATAATCTAGAAATTCTGCTTCTAAAACATAGAAGTAAATATAGAACCTGTTGGGTGTGTATAGAATCTGTGTATTCCATGGATGGGGATATCCCCCATTTACCATCCTTTAAGAAATTATGCGTTAAATATAATGCCAAGCTATTTGTGGATGAAGCACATGGGTTGGGTGTACTAGGAAAAACAGGAAGAGGCTTAGAAGAACATTTCAACATGCCAGGTTCCGTCGATTTAATAGTAGGAACTTTTAGTAAATCGATTGGTTCTGTGGGAGGATACATTGTCGCATCAGATGAGGTCATAGAATTCATGGACATCCATTGTATTGGAAATGTGTTTTCAGCTCCACTACCTTCTTACTGTGCAGGTGGTGCATTAAAAGCCTTCGAATTAATAGATGCTCAACCTTGGAGAATTGAAAAGCTTAAATTTAACAGCAAGTATTTAAGGAATGGATTGAGGACAGGCATGGGTCTATGGCCAAAGGATTATCCTGAAAGTTATAAATACGTCATCGAAGGGGATGATGAGACGAGTGTCATTCCAGTAATTTTCCCAAATGACCCAGACAGACTACTAAAAATTTGTAATGTTCTTTTTCAGAAAAAATGGATGATTTCGGCTGTTACGTACCCTGCTTGTCCATTGAAGCTACCTAGGTTTAGGGTTACTGCCACGTCTGCGTATTCCGTGGAGTACATGAACGAATTTATTCGCGATTTGATTAGTGCCACCATCAGCGTGGAGCCCTCTCCGTTTGATAGCGGCCTTTTGTGACAGCCTTCTTTCGAATGAGATTAATTCCACCGGGAGTAATTCCATCCGGAGTAATCCCATCTGCAGTAGTCCATCGGGGCTGCGTTGTTTTGGTGTTTGATGCAAGGGGCCTTTAACTCGCGTTGTGAGGGCATGCCCAGTTAATGCCTCCGTCATGCAGGTGGCTACGACGCCATGCATACGATGCTTCATATCCTTGTACCGTTTTGTTCCATGTTGTATAAGGAGACCTACAAAGCGATGTACGATCCTATATGTCATGCCAACTTGTGTTTCATTTGAATTTTTTTTTTTTTTTTTTTTTCCATAAATTTGCATTCCTAATTCGTTTCCTATAATTAGATTAAATGACATCAGTTTTTACTGCTTTCCTCCCCCCGCCTGTTTTAACATTTTTCGTTTTATCAAATTTATAAACACATTAAATGATTAGCACATTAAAAAAAAAGAGAGAAAAAAAAAATCGCATTTGTTTCTGTTACAAAATAGCAGAGTACTTGCGCACAGTGCAGGAAAGAGCTAATTTGTAGCCTGTTAAAAAAGTGCGCCCTTGAGACAATTTGGACAGATGCAAAAGTTTGCACATTTTTAAAGAGTACACACTTGAGGGGGGTAGCTCAAAAGAAGTTGAGACGTCGCTGTGGTGTTCTGTCTGCGAGTCGTATTTTCACACAAAGTGGTCAAAACAAAAAAATAATATAATAAAATTCTTTTCCGTACTACTAGTTCACATGTCCATTCGTACAACGGATGAGAGCTGCCCACATTTTTTCCCAATTGTTAAGAAGCCCACACATCTTCCCTGAGAAAGGTAGCCACCTCGTTTCGCATACGACAACGTGTACGTGTCCACATGTCAAAGATCGGGAGATATATGCTGCCCGTAATGGATGTTCTTTCTTTCCCTTTTTATACTTGCAATGTGACATATGGCACGCTGTTTGGGCCTGTTTCCGCTATCCCAAAGTACATGATAAAATGTAATGATATATAAAAACGGCTAAGTGTTCCACGTGGGGTGTACATATTTTAACATTTACACATTTTTACGCGGCTTGAAATGAATACAAAAATGTTTTTGTTCATATGTTGGCCATGTAAACCTTGTCCAATGCGCTTAGCAGGTTCATTCCCTTTGTCATTTTCGCGCCGGGTACTTTTACATCAGGGTGCAAAAAATATATATTGGCCGCATCCCTGGATGGCGGTCCTCCCCTAATGGTAGTGACACTGCGCGGTGCGCCTTTTACTTTGCCCTTCCAAGTCCAATTCGATTTAGCGGCTTTTTTCAAATGGTGCAAAAAAAAAAAAAAAAAAAAAAAGTCGTAAAAACATGCCCCGGACTGCAAAGACAACACCTAATGGTTACAAATGCATCACTTCATTTAACGAAACAGGGAACCAAAAAAGTCATGAAAAAAAAAAAAAAAAAAAAAAAAAATAGCACAATTGAGGAAGGAAAAACAAAGCTGACATATGTTACAGAGGCGATGAGGTTGCCTCAAGATAAAAAGCGAGGTAATGTGTCAAGCTATGAGGATCATTCTCGCGCGAAAGGAAGCTAGCGAGCGAGCCAAAATAATATTGCGATTGAGGTGCCGAATGAGCGTATGATATAAGGACTGCCATGCCATTGCACTAGTCTTTGCGCATCCGCGAAGCGTGAAGAACGCTGTATCTCCCTTCCGCACTCTCTTCCACTGGCCGCTTCCCTCTCTCATTTCACTGCTTAATGCGGCAGAATCGAAACATTTTCAAATTTGTGCATAACTGCCTTTTATCACAACTTCCTGCATACCATAGCACACTCGCTACTGCACACATGTGTATGGGTGAATATCTGCGTTACCTCTCCACCCCAGGTGCAAAAGAGCAGCCTTTGAAAAGATGCCTCTCCTCGCCAGTCTGCTCTTCTCTTGGAACGAAAGAAAAGTTCGTATGAAGGCAGACTCTTTTAAAAAAGAGGAAAGAGTCAAATCATGCGATGCTCCAGCATTGTCCCTCATGTAGAAGGCAGATGCAGATGCAAAATGAATCGTATTACACATATAACCATTCTTGCATGTTCCAAGAAAACTGAAAAAAATAAAATAAAAGTTACGCATGGGTAGAAGTAGCACCCGCAGCAGCAGCCTCTGTAGCAGGCGTAGCTTCCGTTGCAGGGGAGGGCGCGGGTATCCGGTGGAACCAAGGGCCTCCCAAAAGAAGTACCTCCAAGGTGTACATCCCAAGCACGCAGATGAGAAGCTACCAACTGTACGCAAGTTGGACGAAAAATATTTTGTGGACGATAAAAAACGAATCAAGGACCTCAGGAGCGATAAAATGGCACTACACGACAGGAGCAGGGATGATAAGAAAAGGGAAAGCAAAGAAATCTTATACTTTTCGAAACCTACAAAAGGATATGATAATAATTCACCCAAGAAAAAGTGCTCAGAGAAAGAAATAGAGGAACTCATATTTAAATATAAAAATAATGACACGTATGAATCTGCTCGAAAAAAAAAATACATGGACAGAAGGCACACGCACCAGGATACGAAGACGCATTACGACTCGCTAAGTTATAATGGCAATGTTCTGTTTCCCTCGGAAGATGACTCTAGAGGTGTGTATTTCGACAGAGGCGCGTCCGCTGCTACTATGGCCGCTACTACTGCAGCCACAAGCGAACCCACTACTGCACCCACTACCGCGGCAGATGGGGAAAAGATGGATGATTATTCTGGTCTGTCCCCTTCAAGTAGAAGGAGACACGACTTGAGAGGTTCCCCCTCCAGGGGATATTACCACCGAGTAAGTGAGCACACGGATTACTGCAAACGAGACAGCATCATCAGTGACCTGTCCTGTGCCACTGGGTTTTTGCCATGCACGTACAGGGGGGAGTACGATAGGGAGGAGGGTGCTACACGCGGGGGGAGGGTTACTACCTCCTGGCGAGACTCTCATAGGTGTACCTCTCTCAATAGCGACGACAACCACGGAGACATCTCCGCAGACTATTCCAAATGTAAGAAAAAACGGTTAAGTGGAAATGTAATGGGGGATAGTTGCAGAAGAGGCATGGATCATATGAACGGGTCAGGCAAATCAACCCATTTAGGAAATAAAAAAGGAGAGGAAATTGATTTGACAGGAGAATATTCTGATGAAGAATCGAAGGGGGAAAAAATGTGCCATAATTACTCAAAAGGTGGAAGAAGTTTGTATAAGACTTTTTTGAATTTAACGGACAAGTATGAAAAAATAAAAAACAAGGAAGGTAGCAGTGATACAGAGGGCTTCAGATTAGATGAAACAAATACCAGGTCGAGAATTAAGTCCTGTAACAGGGACGAGGGAAGGCAAGATAAGCTAATTAGAGATCCCCTACGAAATGATAAGAGTTATTCGACCCATTTTTACAAAAGCAGAGACTACAACTTTGACGAGAGCAGTGCACCATTTTACAAAGAGAGGAATAAACAAAAGTATGCAGATGTAGCCGATATAGAAAATTACGTAAAAGGATATGATGTGAGGAGAAGCAGTTTTTCGAGAAGGGATTCTAACCATAAGGGGCAAAGAGTTTTTAAGGGTGTCCCCTGCTTTGATGATATGCTGAAGCACCGTTCGGATGAGTCCTGTAACTATGAAGTTTCCCCCATAAGGAAAGGACACAACGAAGAACGCGTACAAGGTAGCAGCTGGGATCATCGTGAAGGGGGAAAAATAATCAAATCGTTAAGGGGCACTCCAATCAAAACATTTAGCCCTCACCACACTCTAGAAGATGAATCCTTTAGAAGAAGCGTCACAAAAGGGGGAAAAAACAGCCCTACAAATGTACATATAGGTGACAAGATAAATCCTTGTAGTATAGACAAAACAAAAATACCTTCACACCATTTCAATAATACACAGCTACGTACGACCACCCGTTCGCATGACTCCAATGATTGCTCCACCTTGTATGATTATGTAAACTATTCTAATAAGAGAATTAGTGGTTACTGTGACAGTGATGCCCATTTAAACAGCTCACCGGGATGTCATTATCCCTCTGGTGTTAACGACGCATGTGCAAAAAGCAGAGATAGGTTTTCATCTGTTCTGAGTAAAATTCAAACAAAAAAGAATAACAAAAATGATAACCCGAATTGCTCCTCTCATTTTAAGTCTACTGCTTTGAGGGGTTCCTGCCTGGACGGGGATTGCGAGATGTTCCCTCTTCATTCCTATGCCACGAAAAATACGCACCTTGAGAAATCGTATAAGGGGGATACTCTGCCATCCCCTCGGGGGAGACCACCAAGTAGGAGAAGTCATAGAGTGGAAGAGGACTTATCGGCCTCTAAGTTTAACATGCAGGATGTGGACTGCCAGAATATCAGTGATTCTGTTGGGCATGCGCCCGTTGGCAGTATAAAACGTTATGATGGTCGGAGTTATTTTCCCCCAAATGATTTCTGTGGGGACACTAACGATGTGTCGTACAGAGGGAAATGTTGTACGGGGGAACTCCCCCCATATGAACGGAAGCAAAGTTTGCGTAACCCCTGTCGGGAAAAAAAACACATAAAGAATTTGCTAAGTTATGTTTGTGACGAAGGTGGAGGGGGGGAAAGGGACGAGTTTTTAAAAAGCATAGGACACAAATACCTCTACACACAAGGGGAAGAATTACTAAATAGTATTCTGAATTTGAAAAAAATGAAATCATCCCGACAAGTTGCGCCCAATGCGGAAGAAGAAGGCGGATACAACAGCGATGGTTCCAAGGAGCACTATGAAAACGAACGGAATGCGCATTACCACAGTTGGAAATGCAATCCTGCCGGGAAGAGCAGTAAAGACAATATGCGTCAGACGGCTTCGTTTCAGTATTTGAAGAACCGCTCCTACACGAGGCCCATGCGTGTTGGCGACTTTGATGTGGGTGATGCCGAAGCTGCCCATTGCGGGAATGGCATGGATGACCGGGACTGTGCAGACTTGTATGACCACGGGTATAGTGGTGAGTACGGTGAAGAGTATAGCCGGGAGCACAGCGGACAGCACAACGGGAAGCATACTGACAAGGAGCAACGGAACCGAAGCCGCCAGGGCCCTCCCTACTGTCGTGACTTTTTCGTTCTCCTCTTTCTGTACCTTTTGAAAATTTTACACTATTTACTCAGATACCTGATACAGTTTGCACTGCTGCTCATGGTGTACTTTTATCACATGATGCGCACGAAATCTCTTGCAACGATATTCATTTCAGTCCTGGTTGCTATTCCTCTTTTTTTGTTTCTGCTGTCGGTGCTTATACTGTTCTACAGAAGTGTCAACACAGAGTTTTTCGACCGGGACATCTGAAGGGAGCGCAAAAGAGCTTATGGGTAAAAATTTCTCCTTGGGCACACGTCCATATAGTTGTGTGATGTGTCGCGTCTTGGCGCTTACATCGCCGCAGTTGTGCACATGATAGCGCGGGACAAGGGCAGTGACTTATTTTTTAATGCAAGGATGCGTATGCATGTGTAAGCCTCTGCGTCAACCTGGATTCGCCTGCGTTTATATTCCGTCACAGGTCGTCTCCATGACCCTTTATATTGTAACTCAAAGGAGGCTTTTTTTTTTTTTTTTTTTGTCATTTTTGCATCCTACGTAGAGATTCTCCATCGGAGGCATTTTCAGTCCATTTGTTCTGACATACGTCTATGCGCGAGTATGCGCATTTTTATATATTTTTTTTCGTGCCCATATGTAAAATTTCATGTGGTTGAATGATGCCTTATCAAGTCAAATTGCTCATCAACGCACATGGTTCATCACACTGTCATATGTGCACGCTGTGCTTGTGTGGATATATGTAGGAGGGCATTTTTTCATGCTTCCTTTTTTGCAAAAAAAAAATTATTTTAATTCGTCTTGAGACTATGCTCCACCCCAGTGACGTTCTCTTTTTTTTATGGTGCCACAAGCGCTATGCATAACTGTCCCGCGTTATTCTTTCCTTTTTTTTTGAGCTTTGTTTTTTTTTTTTTTTTTTTTGTTTCTTTTTTGTGTTTAATTTAGTCTGACAAAATTTAAGCAACACACGGTGAGGAAAATTTTTTTTCCCGTTCCCGCTGTGTTAAGAGGTCGAATCGAGCATTTGAAAATAGCGGAAAGAAGCGCTATAGCCTTTTCATAGCTTAACAGGTTGACACTCGAGGGGGCAGAAAAATATAAAGCACATTGAAGTAATTTGCAGTGTTGTGAAATAAAAATGGCGCCGAATTCCTAGTGTACCCCTTTTTTTTTTTTTTTTTTTATCAACTCGACATTTTTCCTTTTTAAAGGGGGGTGACCAAGATTTGTTCCCCTCAAAAGTGTGTAAAACATCAATTCATAGAGGAGGCACTTTTGGCCGGCACAGAGGCGACGAGGGCAGGTGGTCCTTGCGTCATTTTTTTTTTTTTTTTTTTGGTGAAGTACCTATTGCTTCTGTGTATCTCTTTTCAGCATAACGTAAATACATTCATGAAGTGATGCGTTGGTATGCCAATATAACACACAGATCAGAGTTTTGTGAGTAAGTAGTGACCCGCCTGCGCAAACTACACTCCAAAAGGAAACATGCTGAGGAGCACGGGAAAAAAAGCCACCATAGCCGCGTCAGAAAAGGCAAAGGAGAAGAACAAAATTTATAACAGACGAATAGATAAGGAAATAAAAAATTTGAAGCAGTCAAAACTTCTAGATGATAAAAATGTGTACATCACGGTTAATCAAGACAACGAGGAGGAAGAAAATAATGACCAAGTTGTCTTTGGGAATAGATTGGACAACACGAACAGGAATACATATTTGCTCCTACTAGAAACTTTTAGTGATCAATATTTTCAAAGTGAGAATTTTTTTGTGAGTAATTTTATGAATCATATAAAAATTGTAAAAGAAAAGATAAAGGGTGGGGCTTGCCTCACAAATGATCATGGGAATAACAACCCCTCCGTCCTCGGACAATTGGACAAGTACGGAGAATATAAAAATACTCTGTGTCCATTTTTTGGTATGTACGAGACACTATGTTTGGAGAGCATTTTCGAAAGCTTCCAAAACTTTTTAAGCGAAATTTGTTTTTTTATGCAAATTTTTGAAACATTTAAAAGTGGCTTCATGAGGGAGCAGTGCATCTTCGGAGGGATGACTGAAGAAGATGGGGCAGAGGAGAATATCCCATCGGAAGGGCATAAGAACAGTGAATTTTCCTTCTTCACCAACACCTTCTTCGAAATTATATACAAAGATTTCACTACCCATTTGCAAACTATTCAAAGAGAGGTAATAATTAAGTTACAAAAGGATGAAGCATACGAAGACAAATCCTTTTATGAGATTTTTTCTCAGTTTTTCCATAAGTACTATAGAATAAAAGAAAGTGTTGTTTTTTCATTTTTCATTTTTGAGGACTACCCGTTTAGCAAGCCATACGTCAATATAGAAAATCTACCATTTTGCTTTTTTAAAAAAAAAACACACAAAAAATTGAAGGGGGATAAATATAATCAGAAAAATATACTCAACATTTTACTTCACCAAAGTAATAATGTGTGGATCCCAAAAATTACCATCGGAAATTTATTCGAAGAGTGCCAAAAGCTTGTTCATGTAATATTTTTTTTTTATCAATACAAAGTTTACCTTTTTTATTATTACTTGATGAAACATAAAATATTTGCACTCTTTCTCAAAAGCAACTGCAAGGTCAACTTGGAGACCTACCCCCTTGTCTATGCCTACGTAGCAGGTGTAGATAAAAAGCTAGTTGCACAAAAAACAAAAAAAAAAAAAAATTATTCCAATTTAATGTACAGCATGGATAACTGTGAATGCATTAATCAAGATTTCCTTTTGTATAAATTTTTTTACAATTATAAAAAGATAAAAAGCAGTTTGGCTAGCCATGGTCTACATGATAAAGGAAAGACTACTGCCCTTACAGGACACCTAATGCAGATGAAAAAAAAACGATATAAGTATTATATATATTTGTTTTTCTTGTTTTTTCTTTTTTTTCTTCCCCTATTTATTAAAAATGTGTTCATATACCAGACGGAGGAAATTCAGCACTATCTTCAGAATGCGGGGAACAGCGGTTTTGTGTACTTTGAAAATGTTGCTAGTGACACCCAAGCGTTAGGAAATCACCCGCTGTTTTGGGTTTACATGGGAGGAATAAAGAGGGTGAGTTCCGCTTGGATGGGTGACGATGTAAAGGAGGAGCATCCTGCAAGTGAAGGGGATGCACACACAGTAGGTGGACAGACACACAAGGAAGAAGCAAGCATACCGGGGGAAGGGCAAGAAGGAAGGGTGACAAGCTCTGCGGCAAGTACACCACACCATGGTGAAAAAAGTAATAGAATGAACACAGATGTGAAGAGCGCGCAGAACAAGGGGAAAAGCGGCGACCCCCCAAAGGTCCTAATCACCATCCTGCTAGCCATCTCTGAGTTTTTCCTCTTCACATTGGGGGTTATCTACAATTTGCGCCTCCTAAAGAAAAGGATAGAACACAACAACTTGGTGTTAAATATTTGTTCAGCCATGCTAATCCTGTACAGCCCAATTTTTATTTCCAAGAATACCAATTACGTAACGACCCTATCCCTGGGTTTGCTATTCTGGGCCATCAATCTCATTTTGCAGAAAAAAATGTACATGTCCATTTGTGTGTATTTTATATCCATATATTTTGATTTACGTAATTTGAGTTTTTTCGTCCCCTTTCTTTTTATATATGTGTACATCAGCAGCATGTATGTCAGGAGAAAGGGCAACAAAGTGAAGACCTCACTTAAGAATTGGTGCCACGTTCTCAGGTATGTATTTGTTTATGTCCTATCATATGGTTTAATCACATATATTTTATTTTATATTTTTTCTGGTGACCAAATTGGATGGGTGGGTACCGCGAAACGGTGTGTACATTTTCTGGGTGCCCATTTGGAACGCGCGGGAGAGGCCATTGCCGGAAGAAGCTACATCACGTCGTCTACTCGAGCAACAACCGGACACAATGGAAGTATACACACGGGAAGATTTGTGAACGGAGGGAATATCCTCATCGTTGGGAATTCTTACCGTACGCAGATTTTTTTCCTGTCCTTCATACCCCACATATTGAGCGTCCTCATTAATTATCTCCTTGTCGTGAATAGCATACCTAAGCTGTACGTGTCCCTGGTAGTTTCATGCATCATGTTTTTCTTTACCTCCTGGGGGGACTCTAATTCGTGTGATTATTTCCTAACCCTGTTGCTAATTTTGCAGTTCCTTTTTATCAACGTTGTTCGGAGCTCAAGTACCTTGTTCAATGTGCTCATTTCATCCTTCATAGTTTTAACGAGTGATAGTTTTAATGTGTGTTTGTTTTGTTTATTCATTTTTTATTTTGCTGTTCATATTTATTTAATGTTTCCTTGGGTTAATTTTCTTCCCAATGTTAATTATCATTTTCGTGTTTGCTTTCATTTGTTGAGTCAAGTGTACAGGTACTGTGTGTGTAACTTGCTTCATGTGTATGAGACCAGTATAAAAAATGTTGCCCTCTCTTTTGTTGTGATTCTTTTCCCTCACTCTTCATCTGTTACCGAGCCACTGCATGAGAAGAACACTCGGTACATAATTCAGCGGAAGGACATCCAACGGAAGATTATTTTTTGTTTGTGTTCCCATTTGTCTCGCGACATTTTGCACCTGCCCCTGACGTCTTTCTCCCTGGCGCTGTTTCTGCTGCTTGGCTTTCTGCGGGTAAGGGAAGGGAAAATTTTGTCATGTCTGCTTCCCACTCTTCACTTACCGCTACGCATTCATCATTTACCGTTGCTCATTTTTGCCGCTCCCCCCCCCCCCCCCCCCTGCAGCTACACTTTCCCCAGAGGTCCCCCCGAATTGCCCTCTGCACATTGAAGTGTTTGGTCGTCACCACCTTGCTCACAATACTTGTCGTAAGAATAAAAAGGACAAAATCACCTCGTCTGCCAGAACGGGGTGTCGATTATACCCAGTAGAAATCACTTCCCCTTGGCATACCGCTAAGACAACAACGTGTGTACTCTGCACGTGCGACATGGCTCCCCCGTGAGACGTCCTTTGTAGATTCACCCGTTCCGAAATTGGCGATCACAGGGGTACTCACCAGATATATATATATATTTGTTTTTCCCGTTTTGCTTCCCTCCCTCAGTTACTCTACACAAAGCGGAAGCAGTTTAGAAAGCTGGACTTCCTGAGCATCCCTCACTCTGCTGGCAAGAGGGCGTTCCCGCTGGAGCGACCCAAGAAGTTATGAAGACAAGCTCGCACGCGCAGATGTATTCGTGTTGTGCGGGTGGGCTCAATGGCAATAATGATGAGTGACATTTTCTGTTGCGCATTTGTTTGGATTTTTTTTTTTTTTTTTTTTTTTTTTCCTACTGCGCGCAACCGCGCCACTTAGCAACTTTGCAACTGTGCGTTTGACAAAATATCTTTTTGGTGAATTTACAAAAATATGTAAAGGGGGAAAAGTTCAATGAGTGGTTAGTAAATAATATAGGTGTGTCCGCAGCACCGAGAAAGGTGGAGGGACATTAAATTAAAAAATGGTCATGTTCGTGTAAGAAAAAATGCAGTGAATCAAGGCTGTTCAGTGTATGCACAAGAGCACACACATACATACACATGCTTATGGGCATGAAAACGCACGTATGTATATAGGCATGTGCACGTGAACACACTTTTTTAATTACAATAATCACAAAAGGGCAAAAGGAGTAAATAAGTAGCGAACACCTAAGCAAAAGGGGCCACACATGCACAGAATTTGGAGATGCAAAAACGGGGCCATTCGTGCAAGCGTGTAATGGTTGCTTAGGCACAGATACAAAATTGAAGAAAAGGGATTCTTAACAAAAAAAAAAAAAAAGAAAAAAAGAAAAAAAAGAAAAAGAAAAGCAAGTTAGGGTAGGAAAAGTGACAGTAAAAAGAACACGAATGGGACGCGTAAACAGACGTAGAGAGAATGAGGAAGGTTTATCACACAGGCGTACACTTCCCACATTTGGTCCACGTCGTCCTCGTGTGCGCACAAACGGTTGGCATGATTCCGGCGCAAGCGTATACACGCCCGCATGTACAGACAATTGACACATAGCTACCACGGGGCAATAGTACCACCCCTTTGGTGGGATGAGGGTGTGGAGGTCTCCGTTTTTCCCCCGACTGGCGCACGCGCATATATACATATATGCATATGCTTTTGTCGCCTTTACCCACCGGAGGTACAACTCATGCGTGCAGGGAACTACGCAGACAAAACACGAACATATACGAAAACGCATCCAACAGACTGATTAGCTACACCCATTCATCTCCTCTACTGCTTAATGTACTTATTACCTTCGTTGTAGTAGTGCTGATCATTTTCGTTGGGGTAGTTTGCATACATGGGGTCATAGTAATAAGTGCTTCCCCCATTCATATAGGTGTTATTCATATACACATCATGTACGTATCCGTCATTCATATAATTAGGGGTGTTCATATAATTGGGGCTGTTCATGTAGTTGGGGTTGTTTACATAACTAGGGTTGTTGTTCATGCAGTTCGGGCTGTTAAGGTAGTTGGGGTCGTTCACGTAATTAGGGTTGCTCACGTAGTTCGGGTCATTCATATAGTTTGGGTCGTTCACATAGTTTGCGCAGTTCCTGTTTCGCGCGTAGTTTGGGTCGTTCATATAGTTGGGGTCATTCATGTAGTTCTGGTTTGCCATGTAATTGGGGTCACTCAGGTAATTTTGATTGGCCATGTATCCATTAGTCATGTAGCTGCCGCCCATGTAATGGTCGTTGATGGGGTGGTTTATGTAGCGATTGTCACCGAAGAAGGCGGGGTTGTCTCCCATGTAGTTGGCACCACCGGGAGGGTAGAAACCTTCTGGGTAGTAGAAGTCACCGTTGCCGTTGCAGTTACCATTGGCATTCGCATTTCCGTTTGTCACACAATTACCGTCGTAGCCGTATGCACCCCCGTATCCTGGATTGGCATTATTTGTAAAATTACCATCATAGGGTTTCTCCCCATTTGTATACCCATCGTAGCGCTTTTCATTTGGCTGAAGTTTCTTGTTCGTATCACGTGGGCCTGTGGCATTTTTCCTGCTGTCTCCGAATGGTACCTGTGTATTGCTACCCATATTAGTACTGCTATGCTCGTCAGGACTCTTTTTATAATTAAAGGCTTTTCCATTGGTGAATTCATTTCCTGCTCCTGTTGACGTGACCACTCTATGTTGAGTTGCGTTATTAACAAAATCTTCTTTCTTTTTCCTTTTTATATTTGTAAATGTTCCTTTGTGAGAGTATTGCTTCGTGAATGCATTGTTCGGTTCGTTCTTCTTGTTCACACTGTTGCTATTGTATTCATTGTTCGTTTCATAATTTTGTTGGTTTCTATTTTTCTTTTTGGGGAATGTATTTCCATAAGGTACAAAATTGTTATTCGCTTTTTTGTTCTTATCGAGTGATGGATCGGCTGTTACGTTTACCTTTCCGTCTGCGTTGGATTCATTTTTGTTTTCGTCCTTCTCATGGTTGGGTTTAGGGTTATTCTCCCTTGTATAGCACTTGCGACTGGGTTCCGCGTGGTTCTCTTCGCAGCTGTTCTTCTTAGGGTAGTTAGCTTCATCGCCATGGACAATTTCGTCGTCCTTATCACCCCTTCTATGCTCCTGAACTTTTACACCGTTATTTTGTTCCTTGCCCTTGGAGGCCCTGATTCTGCCCGAATCGTGGGTAGCCACCAGATGTGTATCCTCACGCGTCCTGCCACCATCACTTCTCGCATTTGCAACATCCCTTGTAATGATGATATTTGAGTTGACCTGGTCGTCTACCACCTCGTTCACAGCATTACTGCCATCCTGAGCTCGGCTTCTCTTGTCCATTCCCTTACCCACATAGCTCTTTCCATACTTCATATCATTTCCGTATTTCCCTGGTTTTCCATTTTTCCCATTTGGCACATATTTATCCCTCTCCTTCTTACTATCTTTGTAGTACCTATTATTATCATCCCACCTTCTTTCGTTTTTTTCATTTTCATAATAAAATGTATCGTCGGCGTTTTCCTGTTTTCCTTTTTCTCTGTAACTATCTGTGTTATCATAGTTCCTCATACTGTTCCCTTTTTTTTTCTTTTTATAGCTTCCCCTTCCTGTATCGTTTTCCTTTGCATGTTCATCATTGCTGCTTCCGTATTTGTCGTCTGCGTCCTTCTCATCAGTGGCTGCTTTTCTTGGGGGTACATATGTGGGTGACTTATCTGTAGCGTTTTCCCTACTTGCATATTTTTCTTTCTTCTTCTTGGCAGTTTCTTCCTCCCCATTATATTGTGCACCACTTTCACTTTTTGCTTCGCTCTTTGCTTCGTTCTTTGCTTCGCCCTTTGTTTCACTCTTCGTTTCACTCTTTTTCTTCAATCCAACTGTGTTGCTGCTGCTGGTATTGTTTATATATTTCCTGGAGGACCTATACTTGTATTCGTTTTTTTCCCTCTCCATTGAGGTTTTGTTTTCCCTAAGGAACCCTCTACTAGGGTTGTAGTTCTTCTCATGGGTGTGTTCATCATTGTGTGGTTTATCTGAGCCCTTCCTCTCATTGTCATTATGTGGGTGGTGGTAGTTTCTGTTGTAATTGGCAATTCCGTTGTGGCCATTACTATTGCTGTAGCTGTTGTTCGCACTGAAGGGGGTATTCGAGGAGGCATTCGCACCTAAGGCGGATCCAGGATATTTGTTTTTCGTGGAATATGTCTTCCTTGTATAGTCTGCTTTGCCACTATTTTCATGGGCGTAAGAACTGGAATTGTTGTAATTGTCCTCATACAGGTAATTCCTTTTACTATTGTATTTCTTGTTTAAACTCGATTGGGAAGCATAGCTGTCGTCCTTCAAATAAACGAATCGTGTTCCTTGGTATTTGCTCGAGGTACCTCGCTCATTCACTATTTGATTGTTATTACTGTTGCTGTAACTCATTTTGGATTTGTAGGGCGCAACGTACTTTTTTCCTTCGCTACTGTTTTGAGTTGCCTTTACGAATTCTTTTTTTTCCTTCGCGTCTGTTCTTTTTATGCTTGGATGGTTGTTACTTTGTGTTTGGCTTGGCTCCCGCTCTTCTTGCGCATTTTTGGTGATGAGAACATCTTCTCTTTTGCCTTCCCTCATGTCATCACTTCTGTGTGAACCTTTACTCCCTCCCTTGTCCGCCTTCATTTCATCCTGTTGGCATTTGCGGTGCCCTTCCTTGTAGCTCTTTGCAGCGGCTTCGTCTCGTTCACCCGCATCATTCGTTGCAGGTGCTCCATCCAGGGCACGCACGTCGGGGACTTTGGCCACTCCGTCAGCCTCATCACCAACAGGCTTATTATTCTCACTGGGACTCAATTCGCCCTTTTCATTTTTACATCTCTTGAGCAGTGTTTGTTTCTTCGTTTTCTTTTCCGCATTGTTCATCTGTCCATAAGCGTCTGCTGCCAGGGAGGATTCTTCATCTGGGGGTACACCCAAAATGGAGACGTTACGACCACCATCTCCTCCACCGTCACCTCCTCCCCCTGCGTCTTCCTCATATTTTCCTGAGTCTTCCTTTTCGGGGAACTTCCCCTCCTTGACTTTACCATTACACAAATCTAACTGCTTCTTCTCATAGAAGCCATTTGTTCTGTTGTCTTTTTTCACACTGGGAATTTTCCCTTTCACAGATTCACCATAATATTTATTACTGTAGTTAAAAACTTTGGAGTTTTTTCCCCTGCTATTATCGTAGTAGTAATTATCCTTGCTATTATTTTTATAGGATAAGGAGTAATTATTTTTTTCATGTTTATTATTCTTGGCCCCATAATACCTATTACTATACACACCATTACTGTACACACCGTTACTATACATACCGTTACTATACATACCGTTACTATACACACCATTGCTGTACATACCATTATTATACCCACCATTACTATACCCACCATTACTATACCCACCATTGCTGTACTTTTTGTTGTGAGTTCTGTCCTTGCCATAATAATCATCGTATTTATAATCATAAAAGAGATCATGCTTCCACCTTTTTTCATCTATGTACGTCATTCTATTGTTTCCTATTTTTTTTTTTTCACTGGCTTTTTTCTTACTTTTATTATCATTATTTTCAAATCTGTTATCGTGTAAGAAATATCTTGCTTCCTTGGGGACATAACATGGGTCTTCTCTCATTTTGTCCTTAACAGACACGGTTTTATTTTCTGCGCTCCCGGATTGACCCTTCCCCGATGGAGTTCTCCTCTCGCGGGACTTTAAATTATTATCATTGTCATTGGCGTGAGTGTCACCGTTCTCATTGGTCACATTTTCCTGATCGTTCCTTTTTGGACGACCCGTTCGGCTTGGATTCCCTGCCTGCTGGCCATCCTGCACAGTGCGCGAATTAGTCTTGTCCTTCCGGTGTTTATTGTCGTCGTCCTCTTCTTCCTCCTCTTCATTGTAATTTTTACTTGAGTGACTTGACACGTTTTTTTCGTTTCTGTGTTTGTTGCTACTATCACTTATGTATGATTTGTATTCATCAAACACGTTGATTTCTTCTTCGAGAATGAACTCATTTCTCATATTCTTCACGTCCATTTTTTTTTTTTTTTTTTTTTTTTTTTTTTTTTTTTTTTTTTTTTTGTGCACGTTGAGGGGGATACGCGTACTTACATATATATATGCGCTTCTATATATACACTTGCACATGTATGCGTTTGGCCTATCCCTCCTTTTTACAACTTTTTAATTTGGTAAATGTGCCACGCGCGCATACACAATATGTGTTCATATATGGATGCAACTTTTTCTGTTTTTACGCCTAAGTGTTTTTTAACAATGTGCTTGTGCAATGTGGAGTTGCACACGGTGTATACAGTCGATGCGACATACAAAAGCGTGGTGTCTTTTCGCGCGTTCCGTTTTGATGATAACTTTTGGCACTTTTTTTTTTTTTTTTTCTCGCTCCGCTCAATCCTTGGAGGTTTTAAAAAAGGCGTAAAAAAACACCAAGTCTGTGTATGCACAATGTGTTGGGAAAATTACAACGGGGGGGCAATTGCAATGACGGGGGGCGGTTTTCAAATATGTACACATGCCTGCGCAATTCTTAGCGTGCGTACCTTCGTAAGAGCCTTTTTGTCAATTTTCCTGCACTCGTACGCTCACGCATTGTAAGAGAGCGGCTGGCAGGAGCGTTCGCAGATTTACATAATTTTGTTAACTGCCTGCTGCCTACGTATGACAGCAGTGGCTTGAGGACATGTTTGGACGATTATACAATTGAAAATGTTAAATGGACAAAAGGAGCATCGGCTGTTTTGGAATTATTTCAGCGGTGCTTGCGTATGGATGAACGAACAGGACAGATCGTACACATTGTACGAAGATAAAACAGGCACGTGAAAACAGCGCGCACGTCCAACAGGTGTTAAAAAAAAAAAAAAAAACGAGAGGGCCAGGGAAGCGTACGCGCATGTAATGTAAAAAAAAAAAATAATAAGTTAAATGTATGTGCAAGATGAGTGAACGCCTACGTGGAGGCTTACGCCAAACTTACACGAACCTTGTGGACTAGTGGCCATGCTATATATATAAATATATATATGTATTTAGGCACGTAAGGAAGTGTCCGCCCGCAAGTATAATATACAAGAACATGGTACGCACGCGAAAACGCGGATAATATATAAAAATGCGAACGCGTAGAGGGGAACAAAAAGGGAAGTAAACAAGGAGCAAATAAAAAAAAAGGGAAACAAGGGGGAAATGCCCTTTTTTATTTTTAAAAATTTGTTACGAATGAGGAATGGGAAAAAAAAAGGCATCGCGCAGAAGGGGGAAAAAAAAAAAAAATGCTGCAAATGATTGGGTTTCATGGAATGAAAATCCAAAGAGAAAAAATACAAGGAAATTTACGCAAGGGAGCTGGTGTATATGTATGCATGTTCATATGAGAAATATGGTGAGTAAAAGAATAAGGAAAAAAATATATATATATATAAAGTTATGAACATGTATATATATGTATAATATGTGCTTACGAATGTATGCGTAAATCCATTGGGGAACAAACGCCTTGTTTGGCTTTGCATAAATATTTTTTACAATTAAAAATTTCTTGCGCGAAGTTTTAAAAAAAATATAGCGAAAGTCCCATTTAAATTGAAAGGGCTTGAGGGTTGGGCTTACTGTGCCGCAGGCTATAAGCATTTTTTTTTTGTAACCTCTGCGAAAATGCATTAAATTGGAGCGAGGGGGGAAAAAACTTGACGTGCTGTTAGCGACGCGTGCGCATCTTTTTGTGCATAAACATACCCAAAGCAAAATTGCATAATGACGAATAATGCGCAGTGCGTAGGTGCGTGACATGTGAAGTAAAATGGCCAAAAGGTAAATAATAACATTTTAATTATATAAAATGGAACTAACTTTTTTTCCAATTCTTCTTTAAACACATTTACAATGTATTTGTGCTCGTTTTGAAAAAAAAAAAAAAAAAGGGAAAAATGCTTTAAGCCGGAGAACGGGCTAAGAAATATCATCAATTGAACATTTACGCTAGGAAAAAAGGGAAAAGGGTATTTCTCTTGCTATCACGTATACGGAAAAAAACGTTAGGGCGCATACGTGCCTTGGGCATACGCCGTAGGGGGGAAATGAACAGCACGTGGTACATTTGTGAGCACATGTATGTTTACCCCCGCATGGACTCTAATATACGCATGCACGCTTGTGTACGACAGTGTACCTCACGTTATGCCTGTCAGCACGCATACGAACGAACGAGTTCAGGGCACGTGGGCAACCCCCCGCAGGAACTCCACACAGTCACTGCATGCAAACCGTGTGAACAAGCCAGGGTAACGTGAAAAGGGCCAAAAGGGCCAACACACATAAATAACACCAGTTCGGAAAAAAAGGAAGAGAAAAAATGATCAAATTAAAACAATATATAAAACAAAAGTGAATAATAAAACATTTGTTTTAATAATGCAATCGTGCAGCCAGTGAATTTCAAAGTCATTATGAAAAAAAAAAAAAGGAGGTTTCCGGGTGTAAGGGTTCGAAATAGGAATGATAAAAAAAGTGAAATATATATAACCGTTAGAACTGAATTTATAAAATTAAAACAAAAATTGAACATTTTCCACTTCAGTACAAATAAAAAAAAAAAAATGACAGCAAAAAATACGGTGAAAAAAAAAAAAAAAAAAAA